CGGGCATGCAGCTGGCAGTGGGAGACTGTACACAACGTTCTTGGATGGGAAGGTGAGGTGAAGACCATGTGAAGGAAAAGTTATAAAGTCAACCTTTTATTCTATTTTTTTAAAAATTTATTGGTGGGGGGAAAACACTGAGAAGTTCTTGGGAAAGAGACCTGATCTCGCTTTCACTTGTTGTTTACAGATGCCAAATCCACTGAACTTAACCCAGAAACCAAACACCCTGTGGTATGCTGTCTTCTTTTTCACACTGTGCTCATATTACATTATGTCAGCAGGGAAGGCTTGGCGTTCTATTTGATCTTGACAGGTGAATGACATGCCAGAGCACAGCCCGGGATAAATGGGAGGGAGTGTGAGATTTGGAAAGAGGGCAACCATTTTAAATCCAACTGTGTAGCTAAGTTTAGTTTATTTAAGGATCCCCATTAGTTGCTGCCATAGTAGAGTTATTCATATAGTCTACATTACAAGCATTACAGAAAAATTCCAATATTACAGACATTAAAAAAACACCACAGAATAGCCTAAAACACATAAATACAAGTCGAAAGAAGTATAACTATCGATAAGCATATTTTCAAAGAATGTTAAATGAATAACAGTCCACACTACCTTCAATTCAATATTATTTCATAATTGCATGATAGATTTTTAAAATTCTTTTTAAACCTTTCATGATCACTGATCAATGTAATTTCAGAAGCCAACATGCCAATATGAAGTATACTGAATATGTTTCTGCATTAAAATCCCAGGTTATTTTCCCCCATTTTGCAGTGATTGATTGTTGAAAACTATAAAGAGATGGAGAATATATTGAAGAGAGACAGACACAGATTTCAGTTAAACACTAAAACAGAAATAGTTTATATTGTACAAAACAAGAACCACTTCTCCAAACTGCTTTGGCTTATTGAAATCTTCTGTCATTAAAGGTAAATTCAGAACTGAAGTATCACTTTGAAAAAAAGACAGCTGTATTACAACGAATTAAGGCAGCATTCAGATAGATGTTGTACTTTATGCTCTGGTTCTGTCAAGTGTTGATCTGATGTGAAGAGCCAACCCATTTTTCAAATGTCACCAAAATACTCTATTAGGAGCCAACACACACTCCATAATGGAACTGGGTCACATAAGCATGGGACCCATATATGTTGGTATTAGCTATGAACTTAGCGCTAATTTCATCCACCATGAATTCCATCAGTCTTGGCGCAAATGAATACATACATCTTTCCCAGCCTACTGTAGTTTACATGCTTCTTTTCTGCTCTATGTGCTGCAGCATTTTCAGCCGGAGTTCAGCAGATCTGATCTTGATGTATTTTCCCTCTTTGGGATCAATAAACATTTTCCTAATGTTTATCATTTAAAATGTAATTTCTGGAATGATGTGACTGGGTGCGGTTGGGATCTCCTCTACTTAGTTTATCAAGCTTGTTTGAGGCTATAGTGACACAGAAAGGAGAAATAATTTCATTACATGGATTTAGCAGCACTTTCATTCAAAGCCATTAAAAAATAAGAAGTTTCTTAAGAAGCTGTAATAAATTTGGTTCGAATAGGACAAAAAACCTGATGTTAGTTTTCACTAATACATTTATCTGCTGGTACTGAAAAATTGCTTTTGTATGATTTATGCCTAAGTTACAAACATGTCTGCACATTTACATTTATTTTGTTCTCCTCTATATATGAACTTCTAACGTTGATCTGAAGCTTAAAGATGATCTCAGCAACTTTTAATTATAACTTGAAATTCGGCCTGCTTCTATCATTTGCAAGTTACAATACGATTGAATTTAAAACTAATTTTATGAAATATAAGCCTAATTGACCTTAAGATAAACTAATAACCAGGATGGATGTAGCTATTCATTTAGAGCTTAATTGCTTAATAAATGGATAGACATAGAGTTGGATTAAAAGAGCAATGAGTGTTGAAGTTAATGTCTATTAACACTGCAATATTTTATCACTGTAGACACCATGAAATGATCAGTGACAAGTACAACTGCTAATTTCCTTGTTCCACAACATTTTTTTCTTTCATTTCAGGGAAACTTACTGCAAGTGCAACATTTGTAAAACTTTGATGAGCTGTGACTTTATTTTTTTTTTTCAGTTTTGGACAACCCCAATCCAGAAAAGTCTGGATATTTTTTCTAAACTTATGCAGTAGAAGGACATTTCTTAAATCATTTTTAGGGGTAGAAATAGCATAAGAGGATGGAGAACAGGTCATTGAATACGGGCAATGGAATAGACAATGCGGCAGATATAATCACTTAAGGGATAATGGAAGAATCCAGCAAAGAGCAATAAAAAATCCAGGAGTTTAAGAACACGGGAGAGCAACTGTTGGGAAGAGGCAGGTGGTTGATTACTAACAGGTTACAGCTGGGAAAGGATGTAAACAGGTAGACTGCAGGAAAGAGGCTGATTACCTCTTTGAACTGAAGTGAGACACAAAGAAACTACAAATCAAGGGGGAAATAACTGCACTGATCTAAAAATCTGAATCCAGTGAAGAACAGAGCACTATAAAAATACTGAAACTGTATTTCAAAGGAATTAATGTATATAACAAAACCTTTTAAGCAATCATAAATACAGAGATAAAATAGAATATGGAAAAACCTACTGAATATAACAAAAAGAAAAAAAAACAAAAAAAGAGATTCTCCAAACAAAAACAAAACTGAAACCAAACAGAAGGATCATAACTATCTAGATAAGGCATATAAAACCAAAGTCAATGCTTTTGGGTGTAAATTATAAACCCAGAGTTACAATAACTATCAGGTCTGGCTGTATTTAGATAAAATTATACTCTTGTCATAAAAGTTGTGTATGTAGTGTTTTGCCCTTTTCAGCCAACATTGGACACCTTGGAATCAACAACTCAGAAATGAACTGTTTCCATGGGCAATGTCAATCAATGCAATTAAGCTAAAACTTCCATTCAATCTCAGAATGACTGCTTTACTAAATGTTTTTGCTGTTGTTGTTGTTGGTGATAACATAAACACATAATCTTCTATAATAACCTTAATAAACTGTGTTTAGTGTGCAATAATGCTGTTATTTTTCCCAGCATGACCTCCATTATCACTTTATTTTTGAAACATTGTTAGTTGTCCCAAGAGGTTGTAAAGTCAAAAACATTGACGAAGAACAAAAGTTAGAATAAAAATATGTGCATTTTTATAAGAGCATCCAGAGTTTTAGAAAACTAAATAAAATAGATCAAGTCTGGTCTCTGTAAGGGACCAGACTTGAACAAGGGCAAAAAGTGTTCAAAAATTAGAAAAGGTTTCAATTTAATAATTCCAAAAAATAGTTAACAATACATCAAGTTTCAATGAAAACATAAGTCAAAGGACAAATAACAAATTTGGACCCAAAACAACTGAGGTCAACTGAACACAAACGAAACTGACCTGCAAACAAAGAACAAAAGGCTGCTTAAATGGGGGTGGGGAAACCTAAATCTACCACATGAGGGAGCCACAACTCAACAAAGGAACAAAAAAATACAAAATTAGCTGTAGTAATACACTCCTCAAAAAATAAAGGGAACACTCAAATAACACATCCTAGATCTGAATGAATGAAATAAATATGAAAATAATTTCCACCTGTTGTCTATTCCATTTGCACAACAGCAGGTGATATTGATTGTTAATCAGTGTTTCTTTCTAAGTGGACAGTTTGATTTCACAGAAGTTTGATTTATTTGGAGTTATATTGTGTTGTTTGAGAGTTCCCTTTATTTTTTTCAGCAGTACATATGAAACAAATGAAGGAACACCAACTTTAACTTAGCATAAATAATAAGTGACTATTAGAGTGACAAAATAAATAACTAAATTCAATGTTAAACCAAGATCTCCCCCTAAGTTGTTTAGAAAAAGAAATGGTATGCTCCAGGCTTCCTCCTCCATCGGGTCTGCACCTCAAACAAAAGAAGAAGTGTGAGTGAACCATTCAGATAAATCTTAACTAAAGTGTGCACCCATTAGAAAATATATGTCTAAATAAAATGACTAACTTAAACATAATGTTAGCTGTAACTAATAATGTAAATTAAGAAAAATAAATGCTAACACTGTTGTGGTTCAAGCTTTATTTCCTCCTAAAAGACGCTTGATTATTTTTCTCAGATTATCTGTCTCATACCATACTGTCAAGACATAGTGACAGTTTCAACAAATACACACACACACACACACACAAACACACACACATATACATACATATATATATATATATATATATTTTTTTTTTTTTTTTTTTTTTTTTTTTTTTTTTCATAAAAGTTACATGCAGCAGCTTAAGTTTCTGGTGGCAGCCCTCTATGCGCAGTCAGATTCTTTAGAATGAGCTCATTCTATCTTTTGGCATAAATAAAGGTTATGCATACACCTTTGTCTATGCATAAAGGTGAATACATAAATAGTTTTTTATTGATCTTAAGCAAAATTCAAAATTTCTTCTAACCTGAATTTTGGGTTTTCATTGACTCTTCTAAATTTACATTTAAATAAATTGAAAAATATTAGTAATGAAGTGTCCTTATAAATGTGAGCTGAGTTGTTTTATGCCTTTTGCAGCATCAAGTTTGTCCTCAGCTTTTCTCATGGGAATTAAAGCCCCATTGTTATCAACTTCCCTGTTTTGGTAGTAATGTACACTCCAAGTGCAAGATCATAAAAATGAGTAAAACAGCTGCAAACTGTGTGGACAAAGACAATCCAATGCTTATCCTCACTTTTATGTATCCTCATGACATACATATATGTGTTTTTATCAACAGGAAACTGTAGTTTTCCTTTACATACTGTCACACATTACTTCAGAGTCCTCTCACATATACCCCTCCCTTTCCAAAACGGCCCTCCCTATGTCCTTGCACTTCGCCCCTCCCTTTGTCAAGTATCAACAAGCAAACTTTAAAAGTCTACTCCCCTGCACAACTACTCTTACGCACATGCCAGTAGCATTTACCTTCAGCAGTTTAGATGGGAATTGTAGTGTTCCTGGGATTATCTCTGAGGAAGATTTTGCTGCATTCTGGCTTTGATGAGCCATCATGAAAAGGAAACTTTCTGGCTATAAAATGCTTTGTATTTTTGGATAGAAATGATCTTAGACTGTACCACTATTTGGAAGATTAATAAGGAGTGGCTGTTTGGGTGTTTCTCAACACTTGGAGAGTCAGAGGTAAGGAGTCAGCCTACTTGAAGATGGTGTGGGAGTGATCATCTCTTGCACACACTACTTCTGCTATTCTAATTTCAACATTGACATCTCTGTTTACCATACTGCTCTTTAACCTTTCATAAACCTTACTGTATTCTATTTGTTCACTTCAAACTTTTACACCAACCTTGTATCTCTTGGTTGATCAATTCTCGCTTCCAGGAACAATGGACCTAACTTTGTGGCAATACCAGTTCAGGTTCATAATGCTGGGGGACTCCACTGTGGGTAAATCATCCCTCCTGAAGCGATATACTGAGGACTTGTTCCAGGAGTCAATCAATCAAACTGTGGGTGTCGATTTTTACGTTCACTTCCTGGAGGTGGAGCCGGGGGTCCGAGTAAAGCTGCAGTTCTGGGACACCGCTGGGCAGGAGAGGTTCAGGTAAGAATCATGTGATATGTGATCTAACGTGCAAAAGTTTAATCAATAGTTCCTCTCCACTGTTAGATGTATGATTATACTCACAAGCCACTTTAGTAGATACATTGTGCCATTCTCAGGTTGGAGACCCTTTTGTTCTTCCAAACCACTCTTGATCTTTCTGGCATTTTGTCAACAAGGTGACAGAAACATTCTTTAAAGAGTTTAGTTGATATTGTCTTGACAGCTTTATCACCTGCACTTTCATGATGTTGATCTACTTAATCATCACTTTCCAAAGATGTTTTGCTAGGTTGAAATCTGGAGCTTGTGGAGGCTTGTAATGTTCAAGAAACCAGCTTGAGATGAACTTTGTGACATGGTGCATTATTCTGCTCAAAGTAGCTGGCAGAAGATTGGTCAACAGGGTCAACAATAATATTCAGTTAGACTGTGGTATTTAAACAGTGTCTTGGTAGTACTAATAGTACCTATGTAAATATATCCACCACAGCATAACAGCATCACCTTCAGTGTGAACTGCTGATACAAAGCAGGTTGGATGAATGCTTTCATGTTGTTTACACCAAAACCTGACCCTACCAGCTGAATGTTGCAGCTCAGCCTCATCAGACAAGATATTCTCTACCTTTGTACCGAGTGGTAATTTGAGCTATTCCTGCCCTTCTAACCTTTCAAATCCAGACTGCCCATTCTCCTCTGACCTCTGAAATTGTTAAGGCATTTTTTGTACACACAATAACCAGTCAGTAGACATTATTCTATTTTTCAAGCCATTTACGACAAACCCCATTTACGGATTTTCACACAACTTCATGTGTGAAAACCCGAATAGATCAGCAGTTTTTGAAATACTTGTTTAGCTACAAGAATCAAGCCTCAATCAAGAGATCTTTCTGCCAGAACCTGATGTCAACTCCAGCAAATTGCCTATATGATATGACATCTAGAATCTAGATGCCTAAATTAATCAGGTTTCTGCGTTGGGATTTAATGATAGCAAGCAACAAACAGCTACACATATTAAACTTATACAAAACTTCTATAACCATCAGGCCTGATGGCACGATCCTCCAGTTGTTTTCATGAGACGGTTATCTTGAAAACACTATTCTCATTGTGAACACCATGCAACATCAGGAGTGTATGCAAATACAGTGCCCAAACAAACTACTCCAGTCACTCCACTTGCCTCCAAGCTGTTCATCTGTGTTTGCTTTCAGCCATCACCAGCTCAATGTGTACAGAAATGCACTCAGTGCAGTTCTTTCACAGGGCACCGTTCTCTACGCTCAGCATATTTAATGCAAGAAGTCGAAGTGGCCTGTTTCATTCTGTCTCTAAATTCATTATTTCTGTTGTCCAGTTGAATGAACTGTGACAAATTGCTCACTGTGCCTGTTTGTATTTACCTCAGGTCTGCAGTCAAACCAGTCAGCTAAAACCAGATGAAAAAAAGGTTGCTTTTAATGAGATGTGTGTTTAATAAAGTAATAAAGAAGCATGAGTGGAAGGATGTCTTACAAAGCCAGTTCTAAAAACAACCAGTGACTCATAGGGGACCTACATACCTGTTGATGGTTAAATACAGCAGCTATCAGTTTCTAACAAAGAGAGTGATTCTTTTTCCATCCGCTTATCTGAAAGAATTTAACTCATACAATATACAATAGTTCAGTGGAGAAGGAACTAAGTGAAGGATAATCTGAACTTTGGACTTTTTATTGAAATATTTGAAAGGTTTTTATATGCTAAAAATCCATTGGGGTTATCTTGCTTACTATCTTTATTCTCCCCCCTCTCTCACTTCTCTTCTCAGATCAGTGACCCGTTCTTATTATCGGAACTCAGTCGGAGGCCTGCTGGTGTTTGACATCACCAGCCGGTCATCCTTTGACCATATAAAGGAGTGGCACGCTGAGGTGTGCGAGCGAGTGCAGCCACAGAAGGTTCTGTTTGTGCTGGTAGGTCAGAAGATTGACCGGGACACTCACGAGGAGAGAGCAGTGAGCTGGGAAGAGGCCCAGAAACTGGCAGGACAGCTGGGGATGCCCTACGTCGAGGCTTCAGCAAAGACGGGACAAAACGTGAGGGAGTCATTCGAGCTCCTCACTCGACGGGTCTACCAGGGTCTGTTGAGTGGAGAAATAGAACTGCAGGAGGGCTGGGATGGTGTCAAGTGTGTTGTCCCACAGGCACTGCAGTCACAAAGAAACAGTGTATTTAAAGCCAGCTCACCAACCAAGAACAAAAACAAGTGCTGTGGGTAAATACTGGACTGACATTAAACTCATGCTCTGGTAGGAGTGAAGCCACTGGCAAGTTGGATTTATAGTGGCGATGTAATGTATGACCACCTTAAAAGACACTCAAAATATATATTTTTCATTCTATTGTGTGGCATTGTGTATAATTTTGTAAAATTATGACTTAACATTGAATCGAAACACAGTGAAAGCCACAATGACAGTTTTAGAATGTATTACTTCAGCTGACATCACCAGCAGTCTGACCTTTACAGTGAATTGTGAACATTTCCATATCCCTTGGACTTTTTAATATTTTGTTGTTTCACAAGCTAAAATTTGTTTCATGTCTGTGAACACCAATTTTTCCTTGAAATTTTCAGATTGATTTAAGGACTTTGACTAGGTCTATTCTATCTCGGTGCAGTGGTGTCTTACTGATGTTGAATTAAACAGTCTTCCTTTGTCTTTGTCTGTACTAGAATTAACATCCTCTCAAGTATAAGGTTAGCAGCTTCACTTTTTGTCAGACTTCACAGAAATTATGTTACAGAGGACATCATCATCAAGCATGTTGTATTTTCGTATTAAACCTATCTTAAAGTTTGCTCTTGCAAATGATGCAATTTCTTGTGAGTTTTGTACTTTTGGACAGTTTTTTCTTCCTTCCTAAACTTATGCTTGGCCCACAGCCTATTCTATTAATGGACTGATGATGTCATTAGTTAACCTCAGTTCAGCAGCAAAAGGGTTTAAAGGTTAATGTCTTGCAGTTTGCCTTTTGCATAAGTAATCAAAAAGATGTTAAAAATCGGACTCTTTCGTGGCCACATTCATTCTAAAAGGTGGGCATTTTTTCTCCTATTGACTTTTTTGTCATCTGGACTTGTAGCTGACACTGGATAAGTGGTTTCTCACTTTGAGAGCACCCACAAGATATATCTCAGAGGTCAGAAAATGTGGTTTTAGTGTTTTAAGGGGAAACTATCACTCTTGTAAAAACAGCCAATAAGTGATTCTTCAGTGGACAAACACACTGATGGTGTGACTAATAAGGGGGCTGAAAAATTGCAGAACCTGCTGCACTACATATATTCTTTTTCTTTGGGAGCTATTTAAGTATTTTCTGTTATTTGTTTGCTGTAGGGAGTGGCAAAGGTACCAAATGTCTTCATTTAGATTAAAAACACCATCTTTTATGATCTCATCTTAAGCCTAAGTGGGTGAAACAAAATTAGCTGATTCCCAGGTGCTGTTGTTGAAATTAAATAAAATCTCTTGGGTGCCTCTGGATATTGCTCTAACAATTTTTCTCTATATAATCAAGGGTTATATCCCTTGTTTGTGTACACAATGGGGTGACTTCTTATTTTAAGACAAATTGCAAGGTGTTAACAGCTGCTTCTATTTATTATATGTATACCCATAAGAAATCTTTATTACAGCTCCACTACTGAGGCCGTAGATTTTTAAGATGCTGTGAATTACTCTGTGCTACAGTCATAAGAGAAAACACCGGACTTTAAACTATAGTAACTTCATGATGTAAAATTTTATTGATTTTATATAACTGTGACTTTTTAAAACCTTTGTTACGTCTTCATATAAGATACAAATTCATTGCTACATACTACCATATTATTGTTATATCTACTGGGATGCTCACTTATAAATGGTAACAAAAACCCAACTAAATTACTATTTAAATTATTTTGTAAATTAAAATAGACATAAAAAGGAATTTTGCTTAGACATACTGATTCCTTCTGTATGGAGAGTGTCTCATTAGTTTAACAATATGTAATTCACACTTAAAATCAGTTTGCTTTTTGCCAGCATCCTTTTATTTAGACACTGAAAATGCAATAACTGTCAGAAAATGGAAAGGGGAATACAAAGTACAGTGAGTAAACACAGGAACTCTTCCATGCTTAACATGTACCTTGGCAAAATATTACAAATCATTTTTAGAAGGCTGAAGAATCAGTAACACTAACAAAAACATGCTCAACAGTATCAAAAGCGAAACCAAAGGCAGAAATATTCAATACAAAAAAAAAAAAATCCATGTTTTTTTTTACTGACAAAGATTTTTATTTGCAGTTCTGCCAGTCTTAGCTTAGTGGTAATGAAACAGAACAAAATATGAATACCAATTTTTATATGATAATTTTTGCAAGACAGTGAAATGTTAGAGAGACAATATTACAATTTATATTCAGAAGAAAGAGAAAAAAAACAACCCTCACCATCACCACTTTTATTTCATTAACCAGAAAAAAAGAGAAAAAAAAAATACACAAAGTTAGTACAACATATTAGCTTTCTTGTGCTACTTTTTGGTTGTCTTGCGAATCAGTGCCATTCTCTGGAACAACAAAGATAAATTCATTAGCCATAAAACACAAATATGCTTAAGTACAAAAATAACTATTCTGATTTTCCCAAATGAACCAAATCCTGACATTGTTTACCTGTTTGTGAGCCTCTGTAGTACAAGCTTTCTTGAATGGTCTGATTTCATCTGATCCATAACCTGGAATCCACATGTTCCACTGACGCTCTAGAGAAAAACAATATAAAAAGCAATCAGCACCCAGGACTTTAAACACATATATTAATTTTCATATGAATATCTAAGCACAGTAGAATCCTTTGACTGAGAAAGATATCTATACTGGCAATACATTTCTAAAAATATTTAAAAAAAAAATGTTTTCCAGCAATTTCACTGTAAATATTAATACCCTTACATTATTTGGCAAATGACATGGCTTTGAATTTTTTTGTTCAAAAATCTGAGGAACAAATTCTCTCATTTCTTAAAATATGAAGGATTGCAATTCTGCCAAAAAGCCATCAGAAACTTACCTAGATGTAACTGAACATCTTTAACCTCCAGCGTATTAGATTTGCGATGACGTGCCAGCTGACATGCTGCTGTCACTACGCTTTCTATGAAATCATCTGCAATTTGAAGCAGCATCTGAAAAGAGTTCCACATAAACAACTCTTAAAACAGTTCAAATAATGGGGATGAGAATAACTTTAGTTAACAACAGAAAATAACATGTTTTCTAAGTTTCTTAAACTATTTATAACATCTTCACAGAAGTTCTGTATAAATGTTGTGAGTTTATTTATTTGAAGTAGACAGATGTATTATATCACAAAAATATTTGCCAGCTTTTATCAGTTATATCAGTTTGCTTCATCAGCTGATCACAGGTCTACCAGGGTAATTTCCAGACAACTACACAATAGGGTGTCATACCTGATGCTATTGCTTAATCTAAATCCAAAGATTTATTCCACTCTTGGTGGATTTAGAAGCAGACAAGTGATGAAATAGACTGATATGGAAACAGCATCAACAAATTTAAGCTTTGGTAGCATTGTCACAGGGGTCGGTCCTCATGGAAAACAGTGACAAATTTAAAACGTTGATGGTTAATATACAATGACTTGTTCAGCTGTATCCCAAACATAAACATTTTTAAATCAATGATGAAAGAAATCTCTTAAAACAAGGCCTCTGTTTGAGTAGCAAGTATGTCGGTAGTCAGATAATTTCTTCAGTTTCCTGAAACTTAACGGGAAGCTGACATTTGTTTAAAGGTGTTGTGTTATTCTGCCAATAACACAACATAAAATCACAACAAATACCCAAAGTACCCCTTAACGTCAGCATTGAATTTCTGACAGACCTCTTCAACGTCTTCATCCAGTTGTTCATTGGGATCAATTTCTCTCACGAGGTCTTGCAGTTTCTTCTTACTGAGGACCTGGAAAAAAAAGTAGCATATTTTTTCTAGATTAGCAAAGTGATTATTTACTTGCTATTCTGTTAGAAACACATAAAAGCTGTCTTTAAAGTGGTCAGTATTCCTTTGCATATTTTCTTTCACATTCCAGCAAAAACATTTTATGTCCATGTACAAATAATGTCTGCCTTTTCATTTACTTCTTATTTACTTTGACAAACTATGAAAAGCCTTCCTATTAGCAGACACAAACAAAAAAAAAAAAAAAAAACGAAAAGACAATAACTATAGAAAAAGAAAAAAACACTAACCTGAGATCCCTCCGGACTACTCCTGCCTGCAGGACCTGAGGTCAGACCCTTCACTATTATTGGGGTGCTGTTAGCCATGATGGTGGCCACGGGTAAGGACGTTGGGAGTCCTGAATGACCGTCTTGTACCACAGATGTGATGGATTAGTTTGTATAGACACTGCCACCTACAATCTGCATCACGGAAAGAAATGATTATGTAAATAAAACAAGTCAGGTCTAAGTTAGTTTGCAGCATACAGAGGTTTATGAAGAGCATTAATATTTGTGCAGTTTTGTAGTAATAATAACGATAGCAGTAATATAGAAAGGACATCAATGACTTGTTCTAAAATGATAAATAATTCTAGTTGATTTGCTTTGTCAACAACCATACATTCAATTAGCTCTACTTTTTTATGTACTTAAAGCTAATCATAGCTTAGCCGTGAAAGAACGCTTTCGGGGAAAAAATCCAAACAGAGACGGTTAACCCAAACTCAATACATAAAGCAACGCAAAAAGATAACAACTGACAGCCTAATAATTTCAGTGCAAAGACAAAGCACGCAAGATGCCGCTAATATCCAATCTGTTTGTGCTAAAAACAAAAGCTACTGTCGATTTTGACGTTAGCTTCATTGGCTAATATTAGCTGCTAACGTAGCGGTGGGGACATTATGTACTTTATTCTTTGAATTAGTTAATATATTCAACCTTACCAGGTTAAATGAAGATTACCTGTCCATTTTAATTGTCGTAAAACATACAAATTCGTTAGAAAAAAAACCAAACTCTTAGTTTTAATCCAGACATCCAAAATCAAACCACCGAGCTCTCACGGTACTTCCGTTAAGCTTCTGTCTGTTTCCTGTGTCATTTAGTCGCCTTTGCTCTGCCTCCTGCCGGACATTTTCGGGAACTACATCAACATTCTAAGCTACACTCGAAGAGCGCTTCTAAATTTGTTGGCGGAAGTCATCGTTCTTTCTCTTGCACATAAATAGCGACACATAAAAGATCTAAGCATGAAAGTCATGGCAATATAAATGGCTGATTCCACCTAAAGTGTTTAGTTATGATAGAATTTATAGAACATGTTTATTATTAATAATAATACTGTAGAAGTTGTCATCTTTATTATTGATTTTTTTTCATTATGTGATCTACTGTCTATGCTTACTAACGTATTCAATAATTATTTATCTTAAAAACTCCAAGTCTCTTAGATGACGCAGTTTGCTTCATGATGTGACAAAATTTATTTCAACTTCTGCTTTGGCCAAAAGGTCAAGATAAATGCAGCGTAAAATGTTGGCTTGTTTGGTGTTACATATCACGCATAAACGCCACCAAAGCATGTGAGGGTTAGTTTCATATTCTGGCGAAGAAACAGAAAAACACCTAAATGTGGTAGGCGCGGTTCCGTTTGGATACAACTGACGCACTGAGAATAAATGAAGATCATTGGAGCAGCGGCAGCTGCTCTACTGTTCACATAACAATTGCGGGGTAAACGCACATCAGCTTAATATGAACCCTGAGACATATTAAGCTGTCTCGGCTG